TATATCTGCTATACAGCTTCTCTATTCAAGTATTATTATACGCGCAAGTATATTAAGTTCTTATCTTCTCCAATAGTAACCCTCACTTGGCTTATAACTTAACTCTTAAGCCTAGTATCTCAAAGTTGGATATCAGTAATGATTTTGCTGGGTCAATTTATGATATAAAGAAGCTTCTTCTACTTTAAAGGATGTTTCCTTACAATTTGAAAAGGTAAGGAAGATGTAATATCGTTGTATAGTCAATTTATATTCAGGAAAAAAATATCTTATTCTGCTAGGTATCTTTGGTTCAAGCATATCTCGCAAGATACAGTAGTTATTGAGTCTTCTTAAAATCCAGAAATCATGGTTTACAATCACATGGTGGAAATTCTAGTGTTATGATGCTTATATTGGGGCCTAAAGAATGTAAAAACTACCAGGTTGGTTGAAGCTTAGTCCTCTTATCTCTCTCTTTCATGGCTTGTTGGGAAAACAAGATGATTTCAGGGGTCCAGTTTTGGATAACGTAAATCATCTTGTCTACTTCACAGGATTATTAAGGAGTTGCTTTGGTGCTACTACTTTGCTGGATGCTAAGAATCGATAATCGCTTGTATCACAGCTAGCATATAGGTTCGCTACATAAGATCCATTACATGAGCAGTTAGACATACTCGTTAATTCATGATATTTGGATGGATAGAAATTGGCGTCTTTCGGTGGTCGCATGTCACGCTTCCCTCCCATTTCCTATTTTCTTCTAATGTGGGTGTTATACATTTTTCAATATTTATCTCTCATGTACTCGTATTACAAACCTGAGAAGATCACGAGACACAAACCCCATGTTTGGGGCTTTGAACTCAGTACCTACATGCTAAACGTGCTTAGCTACTTACATAGGCTGAGCTACACCCATGGCTGCTACTCTATCACTTTCATTCCTACTAGAGCATCGACGCGACAGTCTCTAGTTTTGACTGTTTAGTTTTATTCCTATAATTATCTGCGATAGAATGCGTCCTATGCGGTATAATTCGCACTGGGCCTAACTGTGATCTGATGCATCGCTCCTCCATTATATACAATCCTCCACTTAGGCTGGGTTATCAAAGGTGTGTCTGCTGATTTTACCACACACACGACCTCACTCTGGGTTAGATAATGAGGTTTGTTAAACTTTTTGGCTTTCAGGGCTTTGTGACCTCACTCATAATTCTTTCCCAAATCGCTCTGCTATACTGGGATTACATACGTTTCTCTCAGCGTCCACACACTTTATATATATCTTTATTATTTTCTAGTGTTCCATAAAATACCGCCACTATGCATGAACTTTTATGTCTATGGAACTCAAGGCATTAGAAGGATTAATATACAATATACTATCGATAGATAGAAAAATATTCTCAACTAGTTATTATATCTTATAGGATTAATTAATAATGGAGTGAGGTAAGGGTTTAACCAGGTTCTTTACTTTTGATTTGCTGTATGTGGTCCCATACGTTGAAAAGCCTTCTATCTCTCCCACCTGCCTTCACTCTCACTTTCCACTTCCCCTCTTTTAGGAATACACTCTTCTACTTATCTGTCCGACAATCCACATTTGCTCAGATCACCTCTCAGGCTTGCTTTCCCGGGACCTATTAATATCACGTAAAATACAGCGTAAAACCGAGTAGCACTGTGAAACTGTCGCAGCCATTCATGGCCTAATCACGGACTGACTAATGGGCTACATAAGTGTGATGCGTCATGACACTGTGGGCTGATGCTGCACAAAGGGCTTCAAGCTGATGTCCGCAGAGAGGGCAGCTACGATCGAGCAGGCTAACTAAAAATAAACTCATGAATTGCTTACTTCTGGAATTTTCCATTGGAAGATGAAAACACCTGTGGTAAGTGGGCACCTCCATGTAATGCTTATACTCTATAATAATACTGATTATTAATTTCAGTCCGTAAAAGGACTCAAGTAGGGCCTGTGAGTGTGGCGTCAGGTGTACGATGCACATCGCCTACGAAGTGAGCTTCTAAGGCCCAGGTAACCATCAAACCAGACAAGTCGATCATGCTACGATATGAATGGACCTTGAAAACAATGCTAAATGAAGTCAGTTACAAAAAGCCGTATGTTGGGCTGGGATGTAGCTCGGTGGTACAGCGCTTGCCTAGCATGCGTGAGGCCCTGGGTTCGATCCCAGCACAAAAAAGAAAAGACAAAAAAAAAGAAAAAAAGCCGACGTTGAGAGACCTCATCTCAACCAGTAAAAGCTGAGCATGTGCCTGTCATGCCAGTCAGATGGGAGACATATCATGCCAGTCAGATGGGAGACATAAATAGTAGGTCTGAGGTCCAGGCTGATCCAGGCATAAATTCAAGACCCTATCTCAAATAATCAAAACCTGGGGGGTTGGTACCAGGGGGAGGGGGGAGGATATAAGGAAAGGGTAGGAAGAGTGAATATGGTAGAAATATTATATACTCATGTATGAAAATGGAAAAATGAGACCTGCTGAAACTATTCCAGGAATAGGGGGAGGGTGGAAAAAGGAGAATGATGAAGGGGGTGAATTCAACTTATGATATATTGTCAGAACTTTGGTAGATGTCACAATGTACCTCTATTACAACAATTAAAAATTAATTAATTAATTTTAAAAAATAACCAAAGCAAAAATGGTTGGGCCTGTGGTTCAAGTGATATAGCACAGTACCACCAGAAAAAAAAAAAAAAAGAGTATGATTTTATGTGAATTATATCTCAATTAAAAAGTAATCCACACCATGGCCAAACAAGGGGCCCTGGGTCCACTGGGCCCACCTCATCCAGTGCCAGTAACGTAAGAGGTAGAACACATTTGGAATGACTCCAGAAGGGACACTGATGGTACAAAGTCTAAGAGAAACATTCCCCAGACAGCTCCTCCACCCCACCTGCAGAAGGCTGACGGTGCTATTGGACCATGTTCATTCGAGCTCAAATGAGGATCTAAATCCAGCGGTTCTCAACTGGGTACAATTTCACATTCTGGGGGCACCTGAGCAATGTCTGGAGATACTTCTAGCGCCACAATGAGGTGGGGAAAGTGCTATTGGCAACCTGTGGGGAAGAGGCCAGAGACAATGTCCTAAGCAATGCATAGGAAGCTCCTCACAGCAACAACTTATTCAGTCCAAAATGTCAACAGTACCCCAGTAGAGAAACTCTGGCTTAATCTAATCCTTGGATTTATATAATCTAGGGACCTCTTTGATACCAGTAATTTCAAATATATCCAAACTATTCCAAATAGGAGCATATGCCTCAAACCAAAACCACAATGTAGGACGGCCCAAGGCCCATCTCAGGCAGGCCTGTCTCGAAAAGAGCATTCAGGGCCTTTCCATGCTCAGAGCTGGGCAAGCCTGCAGCAGTCCTGGAGAATGCCTCTCCTCCAAGGAATAGGTCTTAAGCAACAAATTATATTCTCGAAGGGCTGCTTATCAAGTTTCATCCTTAAATGTAGAATCAAAGCTTTCTTAAAAGTACATTTCTTAAAATACTAACCAGAGAAGTTTATCTGAAAATCTCATATAAGGATGCAAATTTTTTTCTCACATAAGGAAAGGAAATGTAAAAAAAAATATTTACAACAGGAAAGTGTTGTTAACCACCATAAGCTTCTGGTGTGTGCTGAGTAAAATCCAAAGCACACAGACATATTCCAGTTTAAACACCACCCTTTCTCCACAGGACCCCACCCAGCTCAGTAGCCAGAAGTTAGCACCATCTCCAAACTCTCAATCTCCAGCCTCAAATTAGCGCTCCAAGAAAGGTTCAGCTCGATTACTCTGCAATGACTTCAAGAAAGTTGTGAGTTGGACCTTGCACCTATCACCCACGTCTCTTTCTACAAGACTGAAATGGGAGCAAACTCTTTGGTATCCTATTATTTTTCACATAAGGGTAAAATAATTAAATAGATTATCTGGAAATCTATCATCCAGAGTAAACTGCTCCTAGAATTTTGATGTATAAACTTCTAGAATTTTCCTAGACAAATATACCCATATAAAACTTTTTTCTTATAAAAGTAGAACTGTACTCTACATACTGTCTTAGGACCTGCTCTTTTCATAATTTATTTTTCTCATGTCAGTAAGTTCACAGCTATCCCATCATTTTTCCAGCAGCAAAATATCCAATTGCATGGTAGTACCCTTCAATTTTTTTTTTTCTTTTTGCAGCACTGGGGTTTGAACTCAGGGTCTCACGCTTGTTCAAGCCAAGCACTCTATCTCTTGACCGTCACTCGACCAGCCCTTTTTTGTGATAGTTTTTCGAGATAGGGTCTTGTGAAACTATTTGCCCGGGCTGGCTTTGAACCTCAATCGTCCTGATCTCTGTCTCCTGAGTAGTTAGGATTACAAGCGTGAGCCACCAGCACCCAGCTTGTTTTTTTTTTTAAAACCTCTTCCCAGGGGATTTTTGGACTGTCTTAGTATCTTGCTATAAATCCTGAAATAACTGTCTTTGTTCATATATCCTTTTGGCGGTTGCCTGATTTTTTCCTTAGAATAAATTCTCAGAAGAGGAACTGCTAGCTGCTTTTAGTGTTTTGGTTTCACAATGCCAAATTCCCTTCTTGAGGTCTCACTTTTTTTTTCTTCTTTTTTTGGGCAGCACTAGGGTTTGAACACAGGGCCTCACATTTGCTGGGCAGGCACTTTTACTGCTTGAGCTACTCCGCCAGCCCTTTACTTCTTTTTTGAGACAAGGTCTTGCTAGGTAGCTAGGCTGGCATCAAGCTCATGACCAGCCTCATCCTCTGAAGTACTGTACCATCATGCACAGCTTGGGGTCTGACAACTTATTCTGTCACCAGTGGCCCGTGATTGTTACTCTACCCAAATGCTCTGTAAGTACTCTCCCCTGTAAGGAGGGTGTTTACCCTCAGCCTCTGCAACCTGCCATTGTGGACCCAGACTAAGGGCCCCAAGATGGTAATGTTCTGCCATCACAGACTGATCCCTTAATTAGCCTTGAGCTGTGACCCAACAACTCAACAACAGTCTATGCGAGGTGTCAGCTGTCTAATCTACCCTCATCCGTTTAGATGGAAATCTACCTTAAACACCCACAGGCCAGTTTTGCTAAACAAAATGTCTCATGGTAGAGTAAAGCCTCTCTGTGGCTACAGTCAGTCTAATTTAAGACAAACTGTGAACATGTCCACAAACGTTCTGCTCACAGCCCACCCCCAACTTGGGCAATGATCCTCCATTTTCTAGTCTTAGGGTCAAAGTCCAGCCACTTCTCCTGTTTGCCTCCTTGAGCTTTAGTGGCTGAGGGTTTGCAGGCAAAGGTGAGAACCCAAAGAGGAACTTACATAGAACTGAAAATGCAAGAAGTGGGCCAAGACTCTGGGGGCCACGCCGGGGAAGGCAGCCAGGAGTGTCTGGAGGTAGACCTCCAGATCCTTCTCCCTCTTCTCCACCAAGCTTCTCGAGTTTTTCCCAATTATCTTTTTGGGTGGAAGTAGATTTTTATCAATTTTTCTCTCTGCAACAAGCTGGAAGAAAACATAAGCACATCAACCACAGACCAAGAAGATCTGTGCTTATCCAAGATCAAGGTGAACAGCAGGCACTTGTCACAACTTCCACAGCCCCTCCCAGCAGCAGTACCAAGACCAGTGACCCAACTAGTGCACCTGGGATTTGGCCTTTTCAAACCCAATCAGTATTAGAAATAACAATACAATTCCAGATGAGGAATTCCATCTGGAGACTCTGGGGACATTCAGAAAAGAATACTTAAGGCCCCTGAAATTGCCATCTTTCCAAGCCAGAATGGAAACCAATGGAGGCAATGGTGTGTCTTTAAGACTCTCACTGCAAATGACCCAGAGAAAGACAGCTCTCTCCAAAAGCAAAGAAAGAAATACAGTCTTAGCCAGATATTAAAGAACAGGATCTGAAATAGCTGTATTAAGTGGAGCAAGTTCAAACCTGTCCCATCCTGGGGAAACTGCCTTATATCCAAGCCAGCACTGGCAATTTTAAAATGAAAATTCAAATTTGCTTCTTGCAGACTGTCTCATACTGGGGTTGAACTCCTAGGATCCACAAGTTCTTTTGCCAGTTATATTAATAAACTGATTCGTTAAATAAGTTAACTATAGACATGCAGCTGGTTTTGCCCTAAAACTAACGTGTGGCACAACCGGAACTTGACTTCAAAGCCCCCAACCTCTGAGACACAGGCTCCCAGCTCCTAAGGATTACCTTTTCATGCAGGTCATGGAAGTCACTATAGCGGTGCTTGACTGTCCATTCATGGCTGCCATCTGTGACCTGGATGATATAAACCTAAAAGAGGAAATGACAGTCTTGTGGCAGGCAGAATTAGATAGCAACAACCAGAGGTCCCCTGCATCCACAATAGCTGCAGGACATTCAGATCTCCCATCCCAATAGTCAAAGCAGGTGCACTTGACCCTTGTTGAGCAGCAGTGGCTCCCCTCAGCCTCCTCCACAGTCCTAGCTATCTGGGACGCACATGAGGCATGGCTGTGGCTTCATCCATCAGTAAAGAACAGAAAAGGTGACTCCACCACAATAAGGTAACTCCTTAGGTTTTTACCTCCTGCCTTCAGGTAATTTAAAACCCTACTTGAGCTGTAGGCAGGGCCACCTCTTTCAAGGGAGGCACAGCAGGACAGGTTTGGCAAGACAGGCTTTTCTGCTGTATCTCTTTCCAGAAGTTCTTACTCCATCCTAGATGCAAATCCTTTCCCAACCCTTTAAACTAGTTTGTTTGTGGTTGTGACTTCTGCTGCTGAATCAGGGGTCAAAGCACCAAGAAGCTGCTGGGGGAGGCAGTGGTGGGCAATTAGTAATGACAGGAGGCAATATGGTTTCGTGATTAAGTCCAAAACCTAAACTCTCTCTGGGCTTTAGTTCTTCTACCTTAAACCTCATAGGTTTAAGGATCAAGTAGGGCAACAGGTGTAAAATGCCTTGCACAGGGCCTGACATCCAACAAAAGATAGGTATGTTAGTAACATCCAACTGGGCACACCCAGGGACAGACAATGAGCCCGCCTGGATCACCACCTTGCCTCCTCACATTTGGAGCAGAATAGGGAGCACTTCTTGGAAATGACCTTCCCGCTGACTACAGCCATCAGCTCAGAAACCTCCTCAACTAGACTAGCCCATCCCTCTCTGCAGCAGGGAAGTGGGAGGAGGAAATAGTCAACTCAACTGAAGCCTCTAAACCTGAGGAGCAGCCATTTCTCTAGGGTAGGCCTGTTGTTACACTGGCAGCCTGTCTTCCATCCCCACGGCCTGCCTTCCTTATCCTCAGGAAAAGAAAAAGAGCCAGAGGAATGGCTCTCAGGAGGGGGGCATTAGGATGAGGGCCATGGGGAGGCGGCACAGGAAGGGCTACCCCCCAACCCTCCTGGGAACAAAGGACAGGAGAGGAGGCTAGGAGGTGCTCAGTTAGCCCCACCCCAGAACAAGTTTTCCCCAGTAGCCCACCAGACTCAGGCCTGGCATCCAACTCCGCACAGATCCAGGAGGGCCTCCAATCCATGGCCATTGGGAACTACCTGCCTTTTTTTGTCTCTGCCTCCCTCATAGCCTAGAAGTGTGTGTTGCAGGCTTACTGTCTTATCTCACCCCCACAGCCCAAAGCAAAGATGCCCCCTCAGGTTCGTGTATCCTGGACTTCAGGCCTTGGATATGGGTCCTCACCCCCCTTTCCTCATGGTTGGGCTCCACCCCCCACTCCACCCCACCCCTGTTCTTTCCTCCAGCCATCCTTCCAGAGCCTCAAGTCCCTCCTTCACTTCGCAGAGATCAGGATTCCATCCACTCCTCTTCAAGACTGCAGGGCCTTGATCCTTTCCCCTGATTCCACCCGAGACCCCCGTCAAGGCCTCCCAGACCCGCACCCCTCCAGGCCTGGAGGATCTAGCGGGGTTCAGCCTCATCTAGACATCTTCCTATCCTATTATCCCCATATCCCCCTCTCAACCAGAGTCTGCTTTTCTGATCGCGTACCCCTTTCCAAAACCCACTCCCCGGGCGTCATCCCAGAGTCCTTCTCCTGGATCTGAGGGATCCAAGACCCTTCCTCACTACCCCATCTCAGGCCCCCCCCTTTGCGTCGTCGCCTTTCTACCCGCTCGTGGGCCTTTCTACCCGCTCCTCCCGGTTGAGGGGGCCAGATCTCTCCCCAAGACCCCTGACTCGGACTCCGGGTTCCATTCGGCACCATCGCTTCGCGTGCCCGCACCCCCAGCACACCGTATACGTGTCCACGAACTCGGAGCCCACTACGCGCGCCTCCTTGGCCGGCTCGGCCTCCCGCTCCGGCCCGAAGCTGCGTGCCGCCGCCGCCGCCATATTCCCGGCTTCGCCGCTGCCGCCGCCCGGCGCAGACTAACAGCAGCAGGAGGGGGCGGGGTCAGCGTCCCACCGCCCCCCGGCCCCCACCGCCCCCCGCCCGCGTCTCGCGCCGCGCCGCCATCTTGGTCCCGCCACCTCCTAGCGCTCTCGTCCCGCCCCTTGCGCGTAATTGACAGGACCGCTAGCGGTGCGCGTGCGCAGTCCGCGCTGGCCTGCTAGCTTGTGTAGGGTGTACTTGCGTAGCAAACTTGAGATCCCGGGCGGAGGCATGTCTGGTCCTCGTCCCTCCGTCCTCAAGAAGGGAAGGCAGAGGCCACGGGCCTCCGGAGCTTCCCGAAGCAAGTCACTGCTCCACCTGGCCCCAGTTTCTTTCTCTGGAAAAGGGAGACAGTAATAGCGGCTCACCTGGCTGTTGGACTCGTTCCTTATGAGTCCGAAGCGAGTTGAAGAAGATGCCCTGCCCCTGAGCAGGGCAGAGTGACTGAGCCCGTTCTTAACCTCTGTGACCCTCAGAAGTCTCTGTCGCATACTCCCCTGGAGAACTCAGCGGGTTGATTCAGGTTGATTCGTGCATTGCTTAGTACGCAACAGCAGCAGTGGGCAAGTCGGGAAGCTAGTGTGTTATTTTGGAGGGAGGGATATGTATTGAGCAAGGGGTGCAGGTGGAGGGAACGAGTAGGTGCTGCTCACTGGGCAGATGATGTCTTGTCAGAGCCCAAACCAAGGGTGAGACAGACTGACCCTGGACCCAAGAACTACAGAGCTGGAATTAGGAAACAGCCCTAACCCAGGGAAAGACTTAGACCTAGAAGAAGGAGACGGCAATCCAACTGGACAGTAAGGAAAGAAAGAGGAGAGCCTAACACAGATGGGACTCTGTATGAGTGAACAGAGTGCAGCTGACTCAAGTCCAAAGTGAGCATTGTTCTCCCTGGGAAGATGGAAGGTTTGGGGCACAGCTCCCTTGTCACCTCTGACTGAAGGGCTTCAAATTTTCTTGTCTTGGATGGGTCAGTGACTCACCAGTTCCATGTCACCATATTCTGACAGAGGTTGGCATTTGGGACTTCTCTTGGCAGGGCTTTACACTCCCAGTCTCTCTGCATGTTTTGTCCCCCCACCTATCCTGCAGAGAGGGGTAGTTTAAAGCAGGTGCTGTCAACTGAGTCAGATCTTGGGCAAGTCACAACCCCTCAAGGAACCTCCAGTTTCTTATCTGGAGTTTCCTGATTGGAATGAAAGCTTGAGCTGCTGTGTGTAGGGGCCTGACCTGGGGCCCACTACTTCCCAACTCCTATCTGGGCCTGGGCTCATTCAAGAAAACTTTCCTGAGAGTCTCCTGTGGGGTGTGGGGGACAGAGGGCAAGAGACTTATTCTTTGCAGTCCTTTATTGCTCTCTGCCCTGGGCAGAGGATACAGGGACTCAGGCCAAGCTGAGATCACCCAGGCCAGGGGAGGGGGTGGAGGATACCACGCAGTGGTGGGCTGGGCTGGGAATGCTGCAGAGAGGCAGGGCTATTTAAGCGGAGGGTAAGGGCTGGCTGGCAGTCCCAGCAGTCTGTCCTGTGAGCTGCCAGCATGGATGACATCTACAAGGCTGCGGTGAGGGACCGGCCTGGGAAGGGCTGGGGTGGGTGGATCCACTGGGGACTCAGCTTAGAATGTGGGGCAAGATCGCCCCAGGAGAGTGATGGGGACATAACCCAGGGCCCACATACTTTTAGCCCAGGCCCCCAAGGGAGTGATAGGGCTGGTGTTCAGAATGCAGAAGAGATGGGGGACTTGGGGTTTGGAGAGGAGCTGTTAAGGTGGGGAAATAGGGAGGCTTCAGCTTTTAGCATCCTGTGCCCCCTGATTCCATGTATCTGTAGTCTGCGTCACTGTCCCTTGGTCATATCTCTATATCTGTGTCCTCTGGATCTTTTGGTCTTTCTTAGTTTCTTTCCATCTCTTTGTTCCTCCTGAGTTGTCTCTCTGAGTTCCTGTTGCTGTCTCCCTGTCCTACTCTCTCATTTCCACTTTTCACATTGTTTTCATATGCTCATAGTCTGGGCCTTTCTCCAACTGAAGATGTTTTGGAGGATGACAGGGGATTGTGAGGAGGGGGCACAGAGCCTCAATCCTGGGCTGGGGAAGGGGCTTTTGAAGGTTGAGGCAGGGAAGGACTGGGCTTGGGGAGAACTGAGGTCCCAGCCTCCCATAAGGTCTGGCAATCTTGGGGTTCAGGGCTTAGCTGGGGGTGAGGGTAAGGGAGCAAGGGCTGGAGAGTAGTCTTCTGGAGTCACTGAGGGGCTTTAGATGCCACTCTATCCTTGGGGGGGTAACCTCTCCTCATTCCAGAAACAAGGCCATCCTCAAACAGACAGCTGTTCCCAGGGGACCCCCCCTCTCCAGCGCCCAGAATATGCCCACTCCTGAACAGGGAAAGGCTACAGCTGGCTCCAGGGTTGCCACTGCCTATCCTGGAGCTGAGGGGTGGGGAGGCAGCCCTCCACCCAGTGCCCATACAAGGCCTGGAGGGGCTGGGGACTAATTTTGGCTCCTGAGGCAGCACCAGCAGGCCAGGGGGCCAGATAACGCTGCCCCACCCCCTGCATACCAAAGTCCCCAGAACAATCCCCAGGTTTAGCTTTGTCCCCCACGTTAAAAATAGCCCAGTGGCTACCCTGGTCAGATTACAGTGGGTGACTTTACTCACCCCCACATTGGTTTTATTGTCAACCTGAGAGACAGCTGTCCCTCAGGCTATACAGCTTAGGTTTCATTAGTGTGGCTAATCACTGAGTATTGTTAATCAGAGTCACCTTGGTCTTTGACAGAGTGCCCTCCTGTCACCCTGGCCCCAACCCCAACCTCTGTGAGGACAGCTAGGTCACCTTAGGGCTTTGGTCATAAGAAGGGAGGGCTGAGGCCCCTGCTCTGTGACTTGGGAATGACCCCTTCAGTCTTCCTGGCTTCAGTCTTCCTGCCTAGGGAATGGGTTGGTTTCCTCGGCAGCAGCTAAGGCCTCAGTCTGAGTCCTGAGATCCCCTTTCCTCTCTAGGTAGAGCAGCTGACAGAAGAACAGAAAAATGGTGAGTGCCCTGCCTCCCTGGGGAGTATAGGGGGACTGGGGGGGGGAGTGGGGAAGGGGTAGGGGGACTAGGCGGGGGGGAGTGGGGAAGGGGTAGGGGGACTAGTAGCATGAGAAACTCCTTACCAGAAGTGAATTCCAGACTGGAGGTCAAGAGCTGCTGTCTTCCTCACTGTGACCTCGGAGAGCTCTTAGAGGGAGGTGGCCCCAGAGATCTGGCTTTCTCAGGTCCTGGCTGCTTAGCCCTGGCTGCTCTTTCCTCCCCACCCCGCCATTGGACACAGAGTTCAAGGCTGCCTTTGACATCTTTGTGCTGGGTGCTGAGGATGGCTGCATCAGCACCAAGGAGCTGGGCAAGGTGATGAGGATGCTGGGTCAAAACCCCACACCGGAGGAGCTACAGGAGATGATTGATGAGGTGGATGAGGATGGTGAGTTCCTCTGTGCCCCTAGGCTACAGACACATAGCATCCCTGGCTTGCTGGGAACTCACATCCATCCTGGCTCTGTTTACTCAGGAGCTGTTTGGCCTCCAAGCCTCAGTCGTTTCATCTATAAAGTGGGCATAATGACCACACTAGCTCACAGAGTTGGTTTGTGGAGGATGGTGCCTGCACCTCTCTTAATGGTTACTCTGCTCACCCCCAGGCAGTGGCACAGTGGACTTTGATGAGTTCCTGGTCATGATGGTTCGGTGCATGAAGGATGACAGCAAAGGGAAGTCTGAGGAGGAGCTGTCAGACCTCTTCCGCATGTTTGACAAGTGAGCACAGATGTACAACTTCTGACCATGACCTAAGCAGAGCTGCAGAAGAGGACAGACTCAGATCCCCGGCTAGGAGCTCTGTGGCCTCAGTCTCTCACTGTGTGACGGCGGGACATAGGGATGCTCATCTCCCAGTGCCCCTGCCCTGTCTCTTGGGATCATGGGGGGGCTGCCTCTTCTCTTCACCACAACTTGTCCTGGGCTCTGAGGCCCCTTCCTTGCCCTCCCTGCAGAAATGCTGATGGCTACATCGACCTGGAGGAGCTGAAGATGATGCTGCAGGCTACGGGTGAGACCATCACAGAGGACGACATCGAGGAACTCATGAAGGACGGCGACAAGAACAATGATGGCCGCATTGACTACGATGGTGTGTGGGTGGATGGGTGGCTGGATCCCCCTGCTGTTCACACCCTTCCTGGTCCTTACCTCTGACCCATGCCTGCCTCTCTTTTCACAGAGTTCCTGGAGTTCATGAAGGGTGTGGAGTAGACACTACTGACCTTTGCACAGAGCTGCCTATGCCCACCTTCCCACTCCATCCAGGCCCTGGGATGGGGCAGAGGGCCGGGGTCCTTGACCTTCCCTGACTTTCTCCCCATCCCTGTCCTGGGAAATGCAAATAAAGCCTTGCTCCCTGAGGCCTGGTGTCCCACTCTGATGTTCTCTGGGGCCATGGACTTGTCTGTCAACCCCATCCCAGGCAGGCTGGCTGCAGAGTCCTTCTGCAGGAGGGCTTTCATTAGATCAGAGCTGACCTGCTCTAGGCTCTGCTGACTGCTTTCTGTAGCTGCTGGCATTCAGGCCCTGTCTACAGTGACCCAGCCTCTGGAAGATGTGGTGGCCATGGAACCTGCATTTTAACAAGCTCCTAGGGCATTGCCTTGATCAGCCAGTGTGGCAGCCTAGTTCTCTCCTAGTCTCCCACTTGGAGAGAACTGAGTTACAGTAGGCCCTGGATGCCCCTTGACACGGCAGCAGCAGTGACTTCTCAGCCCTGATTGGAGTGAAGCTAGACCCTATAGGGCCTGTGGTTCTAACCCATCTTCCACTTGCTTGTACTTCCTGCCAGCAACCTCTACTCCCAGGTTCTGAGGGACATGAAGTCTGCCCTGTACCCCATCGCTCATTTCACACATGAGGACCCAATGGTCCAGAGAGCCAAGGTTATCTGGTGAGTCTACAGGAGAATCCAGCCACCTAACTTTCAGCCTAGGGCTCTGTCTAATGAGCCAGGTCCAAATAGGCCTAATTTCTAGTTCCTGTTATCCTCAGAGGTTGACCACCAGCCCCAATCTCCCTCCCTGACAGGAAATGGAGGTCTAAGGCCTGGTGGCTCCCAGCTTAGGGTGGCGCCCAGGTCAAGGCTATAGCCAGCACAGTGACACTGGCCTTGGGGAGGGGTGTTGGATGTTGCAAGGAAGTGGAGGTGTTTGTAGTGGTTCTTGCAGGAGGGACAGCTGCCATTGGCACCCAGGCACCAGCCAGAATGTTAGCAGCTGTCCTTTCTCCACCCAGCCACCCCACTGCTTCTGCATCTGTGCCCCAGCCTAGGCATTCTCCAGACAAGCCGGGCATTCCAGAGACAGTCTTGGAATTCTAGAGATGCCTCTGGTGCAGGCCAGAGATGGCAGGAGCTGCCTGGTCCCTGGAGGGATCTGGAAGGAATGGAGAGGGGTCTGCTCAGGCTTGTCCTTGGGAGCTAGACATCTTAGGTGCCTATACAGACACATAGAGTGACCTAGGAAGTATGAGATCCCAGGAGAGAAGGAGGTACGCAGTGGATGGCCTGGTCCAACAGTGTATCATTGAATAGTTTACTCACACACCATGTGTCCAGCACAGGGCTGGATGCTGGGACACATCAGAGCAAGGCCTAGTCCCAGTCTTATGGAATTTCTAGTCAACTCAGGGAGATGAAGAGGTAGACAAATTCAGAGAGGAAACGAGCATGAGGCCAGAATGTCATGGCAGGTGTGAGAGAGTCATCCAAGAACCCTTCCTAGAGGAGGTGTCACTGAATGAAGTCTGAAGAATGCCAGGGAACCAAGCAGGAGAGGGAGTGCAGGAGGAAAGACTCAGAAGGTCTCAGGAACAGAAAGGCAGTGTTGGGTTGGAGTCAAGCTCCAGCAGCCTCAGGAAGAAGGGGGTGGTGACAGGCTTGTGAGAAGCTCAGCCTGTAAGAGGAGTGAGGCACTCTGGGGCTGCAGAGGGGAGAAGGAAGCCAGGAGGCTGGCTGCAGGCTGGAACAGGTTCTGGGTGACAAGTCCTGGTGGCTCTGTGCACAGTGGGATGCTGGTGTTAGAGGGAAAGGGGCAGCATAGATTCAGGACATATTTTGGAACTAGAACTAGAACTTGCTGAAGAATTGACTGTGAGGGACAAATAACTAGGGAGTTAAGGGTAAGCCTTACATTTTTGGTCAAACTGCCATTTCCTGAGATATGGAAGCCTAGGGGAGGCACAGGTTCTGCCCAGAGTATTGGGGAATGGAAGTTACTTTGTTTTAGGTTTTTCTGTTTTTCCATTTTTAAATTTCAGAATTGCAAAAATGTTGCAAAAATAGTACAAAGAACTCTCATTTACACTTCAGCCAACTTCCCCAAACTTGAACATCAGATAACCACAGGACAATGATCAAGCCCAGGAAATTAACAATGGACACAGCACTACTAATTCACCTTCAGATTTCACTGAAAATTTGCCAGTTGCTCTGCTAAAGTCCTTTTCCTGGGCAGACAACCAAAGATCACTAGTGTGATCCAGCCATCTTGCTCCTGGTTCTCTACTAGTCTGTGAGTTTCTCAGTCTTTCCCTGTCCTTCAAGACCTTGGGACTTTGGAAGGGCACAGGCCTGAGTTTTCCTCAAGATTAGGTTTAGATGAAGCATTTCAATTTTTTTTTTTTTAGGTGAGGCATTTCACAGGAAAGATGAAGAGTTTTTTGCCCATGTCTGGATGGGCTGGTGGGAAGGTCAAATCCAGGAGATAAGGAACAGGGCAGAACAAGAGCTTGGGAATGTAGGTATCATTAGAATCAGAAGTCCTTTCCCAGCTTTGGTCATGAATGAGGGCCCCAGGGAAAGTTTGTGGAGAGGTGACAGAGGACAAGGTGCTGGGTACCCCACATGAGCAGTTGGGGAGGACATGTAGCCAATGGGGTGAAAAAGACCCTGGGTAAATGAGGGTTCCCTGGGGCCAGTAGGGAAAGAAGAAAGAATGGATGACAGCTGATGGCCCCAGTGTTCTGGAACCTGTAAGCCCCCAAGCCTTGGCTACCTGAGCGTTTCAGTGGAGCAGTGAAGAGAGAACACAACTGGAGAGAGTCAAAGAGGTCTACAGAGGTCCAGAGGAGATGTTGTGTGTGGACAGCCACCAGGGGACAGAGGTATGGGGTCTAGGGGAGGCCTGTTGGAGGGGTGGTCACGAATGGCTCACGTGCTAAGGGGGAATAAGCCAGCAAAACAGGAGAAGGGGTGAGACAGAGGCAGCACAGAACAGCCACGGGCTGTGGGACCTCTCTCTGGGCTATGGATCCAAGTTGGGCAAGGAGAAAGGGGGACTTGGGACAATGAGGGCAGGCAGAAAGTCTTGGTGAGTGAAGAGTTGTGGTGGGGGAGGGGTACTGAGTGGAGACATTGGCATCCAGAGGAATAGATATTCCAAAGGAACACACAGAAGGCCACTTTTTTTGGTGGCCACTTGAAAGGTGAGTAGCTGAGGTGGGGAGAGAAGGTGATTGGCAGAGAATATGGATAGGGACTAGTGCTGAAGGGACTGGGGCAGAAAGAAGTCAAGTCCTCTGTGACAGAAAGAGAAGGATGACCAGACTAGTTAGAGAGCTACAACCTCTTTGACTAGTTCTGCCCCTCAAGACCAGGTGTGTACCAGGTTGAGGGAGAAGAAGGGCAACTGTCTACCTCACTGCTCTCCATCAACTGCCAGGGACAGAGAACAAGTCCTGGGAGAGGTGGAGGAGATGATGGCCCTGCTAGTGGGTGGACCTTCTAGAGGACACTGTGGGGAGTGTTGGATGGGGTAGGAGCTATATCGGTAGGCTGACTGTGTGGCTAACTCTCAGGGAGAGAGGGGAGATCCCATGGGATTGTCACAATGCCTCTGTTCCACCAAGGTTGGGGCTGGGAGCAACCACTCATTCCAGGAATGCCCACCCCAGAATTCTACTTGGGAGTAGCTGGGCTGTGACCCACCTGGTGGCACCTATGGTACAAACATGCACATCACACACGGTGGCCAATGGCTCATAAGCTCCCACCAGCTTATGGCTTATTGCTTTCTACACACATCACCTAATGCAGTCTCTCTGCTGCTGAGCTCTGTCATGCTTTGTTTGGATAACGCCTCCTCCATGAAGCCTCTCTTGATTTCTCCCACCAGAAGAATCATTGGAGAATCTTCCATTCCCCCTGCCTCTTTGTATTGTGGTTGCCTGGTTCCAGACTTCCTCGCCAAAGACTGAGGGTTCTGCTGGGGCGGCCCAGCTGTCCAACACAGAATCTGACAGCCTGAGCAGCTTTGGGGTCTTCTGCAGTTCTCTCTTTATCCACTAGATGGCACCCAATGCCTGTAACTGGGCCTGTTGATTTGAGGATTTAGGGAGGGTCTGTTTCCCACCTGCAGCCAGCAAAAAGGGGCCTTTAGAGAAGATCCTTACCCCTCTCTAGATGGGAACCCAGACCCTCTAGGTTCCAGAGAGGAAGAAGACCTGACTGAGACCACATCGGTTAAAAGTTTCGGATCTTTCCACAGTGTGGAGTGAACTGCTGCTCCCTCCCCCACCACACACCACCACTCCTGCTCTAGGAGACACAGGCCTCTCCCACCAGTTGGGGACCTGGCTAAGTCAAGACCCCCAGGGTGGGCTGGAAGATTGAGGAGTGGTTGGGCTCCTGCCCACAGCTGGTGGCCACATGCTGTCTGAAGGGCTATCCAGCTCAATCTCCAGGTATACATTGGCCCCTAGCCTGGGCTTCTGCCAAAATAGCTCCCTAGGGAAATGGAGCCAGAGGGGCTCCATCCTACTGAGTTCCAGGATATAAGCAGCAGCCCCTGTGCAAGTACCGCTCACCAGTTTTTATATATAAAGTCTGTTACATCCAAAGTGGCTGGTCTCTGGCCCTGGGAGCAGAAGACAGATTCAACAAATGGAAAGCCTTGGCTGAGGTTCTCCAGCAAGCCAGAGCAGGGGTGGGCTGAGTTCAGTCACTGATCTCTGAGAAGCACCTGGACCATTTCCAGGTTAGGCTGCCCCTGGGAAGAGGCATGGGCAGGGGAAGGGGACAGGGAGAAGGAGTTGTGGGCTTCTGTGTCTTTCTCATACTGACCCAAGGGCTAACTTGTTTCCCTTCCAGTGATGAGGTGGGTAGGGGAGATGGGACCCTTGTACCCCAAAAGAGGGCCCCAGGAAGGAGCAGGTCTGAGCTGTGCCTGTTTTCAACCTGCTGTGTGGCTTAGGCCAGGTCTTTCTTCTCTGAGTACCCTCCAAATTTCCTGACCCCTACCTGAAGGCTCAGGCCAGTCCATTTGGGAGGCCCAACCTATGAGAGTTTCTAAAATCCTGAGAGCTCTAACTTTGACTCAGAGTTGAAATCTTAGTGCCCAGGGCCTTGAGTAGGAGTCTAGTGGGATGATGAGGACTTGGGCAGGTGGGGCATGAGCTACTCTGGGAAAAGGAGCATGGAGAGGTTTCCTTACTGGCCCCAGATTCAGTCCCTCAGTCTCATCTCACCCTTGGCCCCCTTCAATGACTCCCTGCTCCTCTCCCTGTCAGAGTGCAGGGCAGAGTGAGTGAAGTCTGGCAGGAATCTGGTGTATAGGGCCTGTGTGCTCTGGGAAGAACCCACTGCTGACCTGCTGTGTTCTGGACCTGAGCTTCTGAAGGACTGGCAGTCTGGGGGAAGCAGGGCAATGAAGGTTCTCCCTGGGCATGGGGTGGACCCTTGCCCCTACCCCAAGGCAAACACAGTGAGGCAAGATGGGGTCTGGATAAGGGGAGGAGCTGTAGGGCCTGGAGGCCAGATGGGGACGGTCCTGAGTAGGAGAACCTGGGTATTCATCTCTTGCTAGTCCCAGATCTGTGAAGTGTGACCAGACTTCAAGCTCCTGGCTAGAACATGGGATTTCTTTGGCTGAAATGACCCATCACACAAGGCAGCTTGGACCCTGCCAGGTGAGCTGGAAGCCAAGATTTCAGGAGCTGGGCCATCATAGTATTGCAGACCTGGGTCCGAGACCAGTTTGTGGAGAGGCAGATGACAAAGCAGGCCCAGCTATACCTATACTCTATCTTCCAGTCCCTCAACCTCTGGCTTCTGATCCCTGACCTGCCCTTGTCAATTTGCTGGAACCCGAGGTGATGCATTTGTAAACATCTCTCTGTGCAAACTGTCCACACCTCAGCTGTGGGGGGTGGGGTGTCTCCCCAGTGTGGGGAACTGACCAGGCATCGCAGGGCTAGCTGTAGCGGAGGGAGAAGCTGCAGGTAGACATTGGGCTTTGCCTCCTTCCTTCCTGCTCCCCGCCTTCCCGCCCAGGACTGGGTGGAGCCGCTGCCTTATAAGTGACTGGCCTGGTGGCAACAGAGCAAACTACAGCCAGCAGCGGGACCGGAGGGTGGCTCCCTGGTCCCCAGCATGGCCCTCTCCGCGTGGGCCTTCTGCTGCTTTCTGGGGGGCCTCTTGCTCCCTGGGGGCAGCCCCAGCCCCAGCCCCAGCTCCAGCGTGCCCCGCTTGCGGCTCTCCTACCGAGGTACTGACCCATCTACCCTGTTCATGTGCATTTCCCTGGGTGTCCTGGCTCCAGACATCCCCCCAGCCTGCCGGGGCCGTCTGTCCTGCCAGCAGGAGAGGGTGGAGCAAGGTCCCCCGCACAGCCCTTGGGAAAGGCTTCCTGCTCAGACCCAGGACGGTGTTGGGGATAACTGAGGGGAGGGGAGGGTCTCCTGAAAGCCATAACCAGCATGGAGCCGGGAGATAGAGACACAGAGGGAGAACCCAAAGAGCTACTAAAAAGGGAGGGGACAGATGGACACTCTCAGAGACCTCAATAATGGGGCACAGAGATGGGGAGGGGGCCAGACAGTGGGTGAGTGGGCAGCAACCTGTTCCTCTGGTCAGGAGCCACAGGGAGGGGAAGAGCCTCCCCCACCTCTTCCAGCCCTCTACCTAAGATGACTTTATCACCCTCCCTCCACCCTGAAGCCCAGGCAGAATTCAACCTCCTTCTCTGCCACTCTAGGGACTTGGGGTTATTCTGTCTCCTCACCCAGCTGCGTGGTGCTGTTTCCTCTGATGGTCCATGGGGAAAGGAGGGGTAATCTGGGATCCCCAATCAGGGGATGGGGAACAAGTCTCCTGTGGAGATTCTAAAGAGGAGACATTTCTCCATATATAGAGAGTCTGAAGGAGAACGGGGGTCCTATCTTAGGAGCTGTGGTTTTGTGGGGAGGTCAGGCTACTAGAAGAAGTAATAGGGAAGGATCCCAAAGGGACTATCAACCAAGGAAAGCTTCCCGGAAGAAGCTATTGATGAATTTGGGGGTAGAGTGGAGGCTGGGTTGAGACGATCCCATTGGGAAAGACAGGATATTCTGGGCACCCCCTTCTTGCCACGTCCTCCTACTGTCCCTTGCTGGCCCATCACCTCCACCTCTCTAGCCAAACCCATGGACCCATGTCAGGATTTTCAACTCTTGGGACCACTGTCCCTAGAACAATCTGCCTGGATGGGCAATGTCCACAGGGGAGAAAATCCTTTTTGGTCACAACCCTGAGGTGGAGGCTGAAGCTGGCCACATCTGGCCTGCCCTGGACCTAGGCCCTTGCCAAGTGTTCCCTCTGATGAGTGCACTCTCCCCTGCCTGTCCACCTCTCCAACAGTCAGCCTTGCTCCCTGTTCAGATTCCCCTACCTTTCTCTCTGCTTGCCAAGCATTTTGTCAGGCTTGCCACTCTGATCTCTGCCAGTGGGGCCATCTTCCTTGGGACTGGGCAGGGCACAGACAGGATAGGGAAGAAGTTGTCCGAAAGATCAAGGGGCTGAAGAATATGGAGGAGGTTAGCAGTTGCAGAATGCTTGCCAGGCATGCAGGAGGCCCTGGGTTCGATCCCCAGCACCCTCACCCATGGTTAAAAAAGGATTGGAGGTAGGTCCTAGGGTAGGCTGAGTAGCGGTTGGGCTCTCAGAGCATCCTGTCCTACTTGCCCCCGGGAGCCATGTCCCAAAAGTCTTCCAGAAGCCCTGTGGTTAGAAACATTTTCCAGATGTGCGTGTGGGGGGGCGGGTAAAAGAACAGCTGGAACCCTCTATCTCCACTCCTTGGCTGGGGAAGTAGGCTGAACAGCAGGTCCTGACCTGACTCCTTCTGCTCCCTCCTAGACCTCCTGTCTGCCAACCGCTCTGCCATCTTTCTGGGCCCCCGGGGCTCCTTGGACCTCCGGACCATGTATCTTGATGAGTATCGGGACCGCCTCTTTCTGGGAGGCCGAGATGCTCTGTACTCTCTGAGGCTGGACCAGGCATGGCCAGACCCCCGGGAGGTGAGCTGGACTGATGGGGAAAAGCTGGGTACCTCCAGATGGGGAAACTGAGGCTATGAGGCTAGGGGAACACTGGGATGTGTTTCAGGTCCTGTGGCCACCACAGCCAGGGCAGAGGGAAGAATGTGTTCGAAAGGGACGAGATCCTTTGGTGAGTACTGTTGCGAGGGACTGCTTCCCAATCTTGTCTGCCTCAGGCCCTGACCCCCAGGATAGACTGCTGCTGCTCCCTCAGGGGCTGGCGGTGTGGGGAGGGGGCATTTGGAGCAGATTCTGAGGTTTTAGAGGTCTGGAAAGAATGTCATCTCACCTACTTCCCCAGAGGGGATTGGCCATGCAGGGCTGAGCCTTGTGGCCCAAGGAGACGGCAAGGTTCCCCCTCACCCCTCTGCTCCCTTCCTTCTCCCTACTAGACGGAGTGTGCCAACTTTGTGCGGGTACTGCAGCCACATAACCGGACCCACTTGTTGGCATGTGGCACCGGGGCCTTCCAGCCCATCTGTGCTCTCATTACAGTCGGGCATCGTGGGGAGGTGAGCTGGGGCCAGCTTCTTGAAGGATTGTACAGTGACCTTTCCTTCCTACTGTCTGAACACTTCCATTGAGTCTGGGTAGGAGCAGGGGGCAGGGGCTTGAAAGGCGCCTTTGTGCTGGGGTGCTGACCCCATTAGAGAGGCCCTGAATAAAGATGCCTTCTGCCCAGCCCCCCACTGTCCCACTGCACGCAAGGAGGGCCACTGCCCCTTGGGGGCTAGTGCTTCTTTTCTAGGTGATTGCTCTTCCCTCTCCCTTTCCTCTTCACAGCATGTACTCCACCTGGAACTTCGCAGTGTGGAGAGCGGCCGTGGGCGATGCCCACACGAACCCAGTCACCCTTTTGCCAGCACCTTTGTAGGTGGGTGATCCCAGGCCAGGATGGGACAAGGGAAGGTGGGAGCTGGCCTATGGCACTGGGAAAGGATGAGGCTGGGCTGCCGAGCCTGGCCCTCCTCCCCTGACTCTGCCCTCCATATCCCTCCAGGTGGGGAGCTATACACAGGTCTCACTGCTGACTTCCTGGGGCGAGAAGCCATGATCTTCCGAAGTGGGGGTCCCCGGACGGCCCTGCGTTCTGACTCTGACCAGAGCCTCCTGCATGGTAAGGCAATGGAGGACAAGGCTGGCTGGGACCTGCTCTGGAATTGGCAGGGGAGGAGATGCTGGAATGGGGAGGAGAGGCTGCTGTAATTTTGTGGGCCTCCAGCCTCCAGTGGGGGTCCTCATGCAGCTCTCCCTCCTCTGTGAGCCCCTGTGAGCCCCCCATTATCCCCCATCACCTTCCCAGACCCCCGGTTTGTGATGGCTGCACGGATTGCTGACAACTCTGACCAGGACGATGATAAGGTGTACTTCTTCTTCTCGGAGACTGTCCCATCACCTGATGGTGGCCTGGGCCATGTCATAGTCAGCCGTGTGGGACGAGTCTGTGTGGTGAGAGCTGTGAAGAGGTGATGAGGTCCCAGACCCCTGCCACACCCCCTTTCCCAACCCCTCCCCCCAGTAGGGAAACAGAGGCAAGGATGCAAAGCCGATATCCATACCTCTCGTCCATGGGTGAGGGTGGAGGAGGAGGACGTGTGACTCATCCTGGTGGGGCCTAAGGCTGACTCTGGTCTTCCCCCACCTTAGAATGATGCTGGTGGCCAGCGGGTGCTGGTGAACAAATGGAGCACCTTTCTCAAGGCCAGGCTGGTCTGCTCTGTGCCTGGCCCTGGTGGTGCTGAGACCCACTTTGATCAGCTGGGTAAGAGCATGGCTGGGCAGGCCTGGGTGCTGGGAGTGGGAAGGGCTCAGAGCTGATGGGTGAATGGGGTCATTGACATAGTCATAGTGCCTCTGTCCCCTTCTGTATCCCAGAGGATGTGTTCCTGTTGTGGCCCAAGTCAGGGAAAGGCCTCGAGATATATGCGCTGTTCAGCACCATCAGGTGAGCACACCAACCTCTCTGTACCCTGTCATCTCTGGCCCTGTCTCTGCACTCCTGGCTTCTCTGTTGAGCCTCTGCCTCCATGCCTAGTCTTGTGATGGGTCCCTGTCTTTGTCTCTGATTCAGTGACTCTGATTCTTTGTCTCCCTCTCTTGCTTTTTGCCTCTGTGTCCTTGTGTTCCAATCACTGCTTGTAGCAGGCACCTGTTACCCTCTGTCTCTCCTATGGAGCCAGCCTGCCCTTTTTCTGCCTATGTCAGTCACCCCGGCCTGACTGTCCCTGTCTGCCCTCTGCAGTGCTGTGTTCCAGGGCTTTGCCATCTGTGTGTACCACATGGTGGATATCTGGGAGGTCTTCAACGGGCCCTTTGCCCACCGAGATGGTCCTCAGCACCAGTGGGGGCCCTATGGGGGCAAGGTGCCCTTCCCCCGCCCTGGCGTGGTGAGTGTGCCTGAGCCAGGCAACAGAGGCCTAAGAGATACCAGGAGGGATTCCTCTTCTAGCAGCTCGGGGAGCACTTGCAGTCCACCACAGTGCTAGCTGCTGCCCAGAAGGCTTGGGCAGGGTGGTGTGGTGGGAGAAGAGGTCCTTTACTACATGGGGGTGGAAATAGGTTGGTGGGGGTTTGCCACCCCAGGGATTTCAGGTGCTCCCTTTGCTGCTGCCTGCAGTGTCCCAGCAAGATGACTGCACAGCCAGGACGGCCCTTTGGCAGCACCAAGGACTACCCGGATGACGTGCTGCAGTTTGCTCGAGCCCACCCACTCATGTTCCAGCCTGTGCGGCCTCGGCATGGCCGCCCTGTCCTGGTCAAGACTCACCTGACCCAGCAGCTGCGCCAGATTGTGGTGGATCGTGTTGAGGCTGAAGACGGGACCTATGATGTCATCTTCCTGGGGACAGGTAGGAGGATGTGTGTGTGTGTGTGTGTGTGTGTGTGTGTGTGTGTGTCAGGCTGGGAAGATTGGGGGGTCTGAGCTACCCCTTCTCCCACTGACCCATCCTTTTTCCACTGTTCCAGACTCAGGCTCTGTGCTCAAGGTCATGGCCCTCCAAGCAGGGGCTTTGGCTGAGCCTGAGGAGGTGGTTCTGGAGGAACTCCAGGTGTTTAAGGTGAGCAGGGGCTGGTGGGAGATCCTCTCATCACCCAACTCCATCCCCGCCCCCTCCCATGACTGGGGCTGGTGACAGGGGAGCAGGAGAGAGCCAAGAGTGGGGCTGAAAGTTGGGCATACACTGCTGCAGAGGCCTCACTGATGCTTCTGAATGACTGGAGGACCTGGAGCTGCAGTCTGTGGACTGAAAGTGCCTGGGGCTCCCCGGGGAGTGACTGCCAAGGCAAGCACCCTTGACACAGCCTCACTGCCTCAAGTTGCAGTGAAAAGGTGGCTGAGATTTTACATCTCCAGTGATTCTGTTAGCCCTTCTATAGATTCAGGCAGGGGTCATCTATGTTGGGAGACTATTGTGTCCCAACATGACATGGGTGCTTGCCTCCCATGGCTGTGTGAGGGGACACTGAGTCTCTGTGCTTTTAGCCAAGCTTCCTACTTGGATGCCAGCCAGAATGAGGGGACCTTTCTGGTCGCCCAATGTCTGGGAAAGACTGTCCAGCTTTGCTGTCATGGGGTGTTTGGACCAGACTGGGATACATGTGGCTCCCACCCAGGAGCTGAGGGAGGCTAACAGCAGGGATGTGGGGGAAACTCTTGTCCCATCCACTCATACTGAGACCCTACTCCTTCTCCAGGTGCCAACACCCATCATGGAGATGGAGATCTCTGTCAAAAGAGTAAGAGCAGCTGCTGTCCCCCTGCATCCTCCTCCCCTCTGCCCCACCTACAGCCTCCTTGGGCACTGCCATAGTCTGCTAGAGAGTCATGCCAGGCAGGCCTGAGTAGGCCCTACAACCAAGGACTGCATCCAGCTGGGAGCTGAGTCTCACATGGGTGAAAACTGGGAGGTGCGGAATAAATGAGACTGTTTGGATAAGGAGAACTCCACAAAAGCTAGTTTCTAAGGGAGGTGACGTGTGTGGAAACAAAATCCACATTTTAAAAAAGAGATCCACTTTCTAGAGGTCTGCTGTGTATCCTTTTGCAGATTACAAGTATTCTAACTTTTGTACTGGGGTTGTTCAAAGCAAGGTGCACCTCTAAAGTCAGAGGCCAGTCAGACAAAGGCCTTGGGGTAGAGGGTAGCAAGGAGGGCCCAGATCCCTTGGAGAAAAGACTTGGGGCCCATCCCACCCCCTCCACATGTTAGCACAGGATCGAGGTGATCAACATCTTCATTTTTGTGAAGGAACCCAAGAGGTTCTGGAAGCTTTCCTGAAAGTGGCAGGAGTCTCAGAGGGTTGAGAGCCTAGCTGCTCCTTGGCGAAGCTCAGGCTCACCCCAGCCTCTGCCTGTGTTTCTCCCCAGCAAATGCTGTACGTGGGCTCTCAGCTGGGTGTGGCCCAGCTGCAGCTGCACCAGTGTGAGACTTATGGCAGTGCCTGTGCCGAATGCTGCCTGGCCCGGGACCCATACTGTGCCTGGGATGGTGATTCCTGTTCTCGCTACCGCCCTAGCCCCAGCAAGCGACGGTTCCGTAGGCAGGACATCAGGCATGGCAACCCTGCCCTGCAGTGTCTGGGCCAGAGCCAGGATGGTGAGTGGTAGGAGGTATGGGGGGGCACTAACAGGGTCCCTCTTATCCTGTGGCCTGAGCTCCATCCAGTTGTAACAAACAGTCCTCAGTTTCCCTATCTGTGCAGCTCTAGTCACTGCATGGATGCAGGATCTTTGGGCAAAGAGACTGGCTTGTGGATGGATGTCTAGGTCCTTATCATACTGGTGGGCTGTGGAGTCAGTTGGTGGGCCCCAGGACCTGGGTCCCATAGTTTCTTAGCTGAGCCAACCCAGACCTTTCTGACCTTTCTGACGCAGAGGAGGCGTCAGGACTGGTGGCCACCAGGGTCTATGGCATGGAGCACAACAGCACCATCCTGGAGTGCCTGCCCAAGTCTCCCCAGGCTTCTGTGCGCTGGTTCTTGCAGAGGCCAGAGGATGAGAGGGCTGACCTGGTGAGTGAAGACCCTTCTTCTGGTTCCACCTCCCTCCTTGAATCCCAAACTTTGAGCCCTGGGAGGAATCACCAAGATCAACCCGAGAAAAGTGCATATTAGGCTCCTAGGCGGCCTAGGAAGAGCCGCCCCTATTTCTGCCTCTGGGAATGCCCAGGACAGATGTGGCTGAAGCTTCCCTAGTCTGATGGGTGGGGTAGCAGAGACGGAAGGGAAGAAATGGGGTCTGGGCTAGTCCAGCACTTCCCCATGCTTAGACATGTGGCTCAACTTTGAAGGGGTCTCTTCCCCAGAGCTTCTTGGTCTTCCTTTGCCCCAGACCTGGGTTCCTGACCACTGCTCACTGGACTTCCCCACCCTTCCACTCCCTCCATCTTCAATTTCTGACCTTATATTTCTTCCTTTTCTTCCTGGAGACCAGTTATTTGCCCAGGCCCTCTCCTCCCCCGACCCAGAAAGGCCTGTCAACCCCTGAGATGGTTCAGTCTGGGACCTTGGGCTGGGAGTGGATCAGGCAGAGCGAGGCACCATTCTCCTATAAGGAAGAAGGTGGGGGTTGATGCCAGGGGGCCTCTCCCTCTAGCTTGAAAACTGGGGGAGGCCAGACTTGAGCCAGCTGTTGGGTTGGGCACTGAGGAGACTCCCTGGGGTAGGAGGAACAGCAAGATGAAATTACACAACATTAACCACCCAAGCAGTCCACCCTCAGCACACAAATGCACAGACTAAAGCCCAGACTAGACTCAGAGAGATGGGTTGGAGCACAGCTGTCCCCTGCCTCTTACACTGAAGTAGGCACTTAGCCCATCCCAGGCTGTGTCTGGGAGCCTCGCACTGTGGGAGTGATCAGGGCATACCAAGACAGAGAAGGACCAACGTGGCTGGTGTGTGTGTGTGTGCTCCCTGGGTATGTGTGCCAGGGCTCTCTAAGGCCAAGATTGGTGCCCTAGGGCTCTGACTAGGGGAGACACCAGCCATTCAAAATTTTGAAAAACCCCCTTTGCAGTCCCTGTCCTGGGCTCTGAGAAGGTGAGGCCCTACCTGCATTTAGCTTACAGTCTAGAAGCCAAACCTGCCAAGCTGCTGGGTCCTTCCTGGGAAGGAGGAATGGGCAAGAGGAAGTGCCCAAGCATGGGGCCCAAGGATGACAATCTTATGTCCCCTCTATTCTCCCGATTGCCTGACAGGTAAAAACAGATGAGCGTATCCTGCAAACAGAGCAGGGGCTGCTGTTCCGTAGGCTCAGCTGCCTTGATGCAGGTACCTACACCTGCACAACGCTGGAGCGTGGTTTCTCCCAGACTGTGGTCCGTCTGGCTCTGGAGGTGATTGCAGCCACACAGCTGAATAGCCTGTTCCCTCGGGAGCCAAGACCAGAGGAGTCCTCAGCCTGGGGAGGTCCAGCCTCTGCCCCACCTAAAGCTTGGTATAAGGACATCCTACAACTTATTGGCTTCTCCAGCCTGCCCCAGGTTGATGAGTACTGTGAGCGTGTGTGGTGTAGGGGCGTTGGGGAGCACTCAGGCTTCTTCCGGAGCCGGGGGAAGCAGGCCAAAGGCAAGAGCTGGGCAGGCCTGGAGCTGCGCAAGAAGGTGAAGAGCCGGGTGCAGGCTGAGCGCAATCGGACGCCCCGGGAGGTGGAGGCCGCATAGAGAGGCTTAGGAGGGGGTGATCAGGCTGGGCTGGGGGACCCAGCAGCAGCCCCCAGCATCTCCCACCCATCCAGCTAGGGCAGAGGTGGGCCAGGATGCCTGATTGCCTCTGAGAGATGGAAGTGTCTGCCACTCATAGGCAAGACTGAGGATCTGAGGGGAGGGGCCTGTACCTGAAACCTGATTTCTGCCACTCTCTGGGCTCTGAGTTCCAGGCTGGAGCTGGCACCTCTGGCCACTGGCAGTCCCAAAGGGCCTGCTATTTGTTCTCAGAGATGGCCTGGCTCCCGGAGAACATTTCCGGTTGTACCCAGAGGCAAGAGGGTTGGGTGGTTCTTTCCCAGAGTGTGCAGAACAATGCCCATTCTGAGTGACCTTCAGAATGGGTGTGTGGGTAGCTCTAAGGAGTTATCTAGGCAGGGGCGCTCAGTCAGCCAGAGGAGCGTAGAAGTGGCCTCTTACGCTAGTACCTGTTAAGAAGAACCTACCCTGTCCAGAGCTGGGGAGGGAAAGTAGAGGCGTTGAGAAGGTAGAGCAGCGATACAGTTTCCCTCTTTCATGCTATTCCCCACCACCTCTTCTGCATCTCAATTACAGAGGCATGGGTTGTTGGGACCTGGAAGTGTTCTGAGCCTTGGGTCCCACTTTATAGACCAGGGAGAGTAGTCTCACAGCCTGCTGTCCCTTCCCCAGGCTCTGAACTGTTAGGCCAGGTTTGCTGAGATGCCCATCTCTTCATCATCAAGGTCTCATGCTGGGGAGCAGACGAGGGGTAGGATCTAGGGCAATGCCGGCCTTCATCTCTGTGGACTAGAGAGGGAAAGAGAGGACCTAGAAGAAGCATGGGGTGGGAGGAGTGGTTGTCTTTCCAAACCCACTGGGGTATGCAGTGCAGGCCCACCCCAGCCCTGGGAGTGAAGGAATGTAGAGGCTCTGAGAGCTGTGGTGAGTAATCAGGATTAGGATAAGGATCCAGGGCTTTGTCCAGGGCCACAGAGAACTGAAAGGCTATCAAGATGGAGAGAGGATAGGAGACCCTCTTAGAGGGGCTAATGGACTCAGGAACAGGTGTCCTAAAGGATTCACAATGGCATCAACTGGTTCAGGAGCCATTGGGAAGTCCAGATATTCCCAACCCCAGAATCTGTATTTTCTGCTAGATAGGGTTGAGCATGGATGGTTCATTTACAAAGTCTTTCTTCTCTTTCTTTCTTTCTTTCTTTCTTTCTTTCTTTCTGTCTTTCTTTCTCTCTCTCTTTCTTTCTTTCTTTCCCTTCCTTCCTTCCTTCCTTCCTTCCTTCCTTCCTTCCTTCCTTCCTTCCTTCCTTCCTTCCTTCCTTCCTTCCTTCCTTCCTTCCTTCCTTCCTTCCTTCCTTCCTTCCTTCCTTCCTTCCTTCCTTCCTTCCTTCCTTCCTTCCTTCCTTCCTTCCTTCCTTCCTTCCTTCCTTCCTTCCTTCCTTCCTTCCTTCCTTCCTTCCTTCCTTCCTTCCTTCCTTCCTTCCTTCCTTCCTTCCTTCCTTCTTTCATCTCTCCTTCTAGGCCTTTTTTTCTTTTAAGGGAAAAAAACATGGAAGAAAAAAGCTGCTAAAATCTGTAAAGCCTGCTGGTTTGTGGGTGAGGCTGGGTGGCCAGGTCAATTTTGCCTAGGCTGTAGGGGAGGTGTTTTTGCCATCAGCAGTTTTTTTCTTTTGGGGTGGGGGGAGGGCAGAGGAGCACAGAGGGGGAGGAGGACAATTAAATGAAGTTGTTCCCAGTCTGTACTTAGACAAGTTGTGATGCACTAAACTGACAGAGGGAGAAAACAGAAGTTTGAGATTCTCTCCTTTAAAAAATCAAGAGGAAGAAAAAAGGAAGAGGGGGAAAAAAAGATAAAAAGCAAGTCCAGGCCTCTTGCCTCACTGAAACCCAAACCTGAGTGTTTTGGGTTTTATCTTCCCCATCCTGACACCCCTAGAGTACTGGGATCTGAAATAGCACTCCTCTTTCCCTTTGATTGTACCAACAGAAGCCTGGAGATGAGCCTAACAACACCTTAAGAATCCTTCCTCTTTAGGATTGGGGATATTAGTGGCTGAAAGCAAAGGAGAAAAGGAGAAGGATGGGGGCTGGAGGGAAGAAGGGAAGGGGAAATTAAGGAGATGAGAGAGATAGAGAAAGTGCTGAGCTCCAGGAAAAGGGTGACGGAGCTGCAGCCCGAGCCACTCCTCTATCCCTGGGAAGTCAGAAAGAGACAACCCAGCCCTCAGTGGGTTTGGACTGGGCCCAGGTTTGGCAAGCTCCAGACAGGGCCCTGGGGAAATGACCCTGGAACATGGAACAAGAAGGAAAATAGATCCTGAACAATGTGCATCTAACCCCTGGGAAAATATAGACAGCTTCTATCAACTGCCGTCCTCCCCATGGTGCTGTGTGTTATTAACTCCTGGAAATGCCATCAATGTATGTGTAAATTCTACTTCATGTTTGTATTTTTGAGATTGGTCTTGTGGTTTCTCTCTCTTCAAATCATACTTCTTGTTATTGCTATTGATATTTTTATTGTCATGGTTGCCCTGAACATTGGTGAGGAGGGCAGAGTCTACCAGGAAAGGGATGAAGTTAATATTTATATCACATAATTACACAATTATTGTATCTTGTAAATTGATTGATGCTATCTATATGAGCTGGAGAAGGGGGGCCTGCCCCATCTGTTCTGAGAGGGAAGGTCAGAGGTCACCCTGGGTGGTATTTTTCTAGAAGGGAGGGAGATGGGTAGCAGGGGAAGGAAGGAGTTAGAGGGCTTTGTCTATGAAACTGAGATTGCTCATTAAATTAGGAAAATCCTGTCCTGAGGGCTTATAAAATTGACCTTCTTGGAATGTCAGGAGGATCTTGAACCAGAAAAGAGGAAAATGCTGGCAAAGGGCAGCCAGGCACGTAGGCAACTCTACTCCTTTTTTTTTTTTTTTTAATAACACTTGACATTAACAGCAACACTTAGCCTGGTTCCTCCTTCATCCCAAGCCACATGCCAATGTATATTAAGGTCACCCAGCTCATGACTGGGCTATGCTGTGCTGTGGGGGCCGCAGCTTCTCGGGAGGAGGGGAGGCTCTGAGAATTGGAGCTACTGGGCATACTCAGAAGGCCCTCTGACCATGGCCCCCAAGTCCCCAGTGACATCATGACCCCTGCCCAAAAAGCAGACTCCACTGGTACTAGAGGGAGACGGGAAAACCACAGGAGCACTTCAAAGATGAGGGAGACATCAATCAATATTCTTAGAGAGATGGTCCTAGGCCTCTTGCTTGAGTGGGCTATACCATAGCCCAGGGAGCTTAACAGAACAAGTCAGTTATCAGGTCCATCTTGTTGCAGGCCCTGGAGCCAGGCCCCTCCTTTTACCCCTTTGTCCCCATCACAAACACCCAGACCTGACAGACTCAGAAGCCCTGCTACCCCACCCCAAGCCATCATCCCCACCGACTGAGAGTCATCATCATTGTACCCACTTGGCACTGGCTTGGCAGGTTGCATAAGTGTGGCCCCCACAACCCTTCTCCCCTCGAATGCTACTCTCCCTGTGGCAGCCCAATGTCTCTGCTCTCAGCTAACGCTGCTGCACATGCTCCCAAGATTTCTCCCTGACCCCACTCCCCCTCCCACCTCCCATCTTGAGTTCTATTTCCTGCTTCACAATTTCACCCTCTCTCTATCTTCCTCTTGCAGCTTTTTCCTCTAAGTTTCATACTTCCCCTTGTCTCTGGGCTTCTGTTCATGATTTCTAGAACAGGTTTAGAACTAGAGAGTGGCTGAGACAAAGAGACTAGTCAAGTATTTTTAAAATGCTGTTCCCTGAACTGGTAGTCCCAGGAAATCCTCTACCATCTCGTGGTTTTCATGGTTAGATTCCAGGATTTCTGTATCCTTGGACCCCACAGATATGTGGACTGCCTGTTTGCCTGCTCTGTGAAGGCCCTGAGAAGTCTTTTTGTGGTCTCTCACTAATCTACATGCTTACTATGGTGCTGTATGATTCTCCAAAACATTTGATCCTCTATCTCTTTTTCTGCCATGAAGCAGCTAACAACTCATGTTTCTAATATTCTGTAGAGCACATTTTGGAAAACTGTGGTTAGACTAATTCCTTCCCTTATAACACATGAGATTAATTTGTTAATCTCTGCCCCCCAAGCCTGTAAACACTGGAGGTCCTGACCTCCCAGATGTCAGTCACATCTTGGTTTCCTGTGGCCTTCACCAGAGTAGTATCTGCTATTCCAGGGACAGGATTGCCAAGCCACTGGTTTACCAACACTTGGGCCGAGACTCTGCTGTGCTTCTGGCTACCATCTTGCCACCCTCAGCCTGTTTGTCTCACTAGCCTCCTGGAGTTGCCTGTGTCTGACATGGTCCTCTGTATTTGTGTGAGTGGGGGCTAGGATTCATCCCAGGTCTGCAACTGTCCTGCAATCCAACAGCAGAATGTCTCAGGAAGGGTGGTTGGCAGGGAGGGGTCAGAATAAGGGAAGAAAACAACCCTTTTTACTATCTCAAGTGCTCCCCTTTCATTTAGCTAATCTCGGTTCAGGTCCTAGACACCCCTAGAATCTGGATTGGAGGAGTGGGTATGTAGTAGCCACCAGGAGCCTGGCCTGTCTCCTGCCAGGCTGTCTTCTCTTAGACTGGCAGGGGCTCTGGCTGCAACTCCAGAGGACCATTTCACATGCTTCTGCCAGTCCAGCAAACTGAGGCTTCTCTGGTCAGCCACATCTTAGAATTAGATTGTTGTTCAGAAATAGTCCTGTTTCCATCTGAGTTAAGGATCCATCCAGCCTCACCCAAGTCCTTGGCTGCAGAGGATTCCATAAGGAGGAAGTTCAACACACATCAAGAGCAAATCTCCAGAGTTTTCTAAGGCTACAAACTTGGAAAGAAAGGAGTGGGCAGGGCTAGATTTAGACGTGATAGCTGATAAGAAGCCTGGGGATTGTTGGGTCCCCACCCTGGCTCCTCTTCCGGATTTACCCACCCTTTCTGGTATAGGGAAGATGAGGCAAGACAGTGGTGGCCCTGTGCCCACTTCTCAACACCCACCCATCTTTGCCATGCTGGACTCCTCTTCCTTAGAGGCTGCATGCTAATGAAGACTTTCACTTTCCCAGCTGGAGTTTCATTAAGGAAACTTCTAGTTCCTCAATGCAGCCTTTAAAAAAAAAAAATCCTTTTCCACCAGGAATGGGAACAGCTGCAAAGTCTCCAGGGAGGCCTTGTAAAGAATGCTAGGCTCAATTCCTGTGCCAGGCTTCCAGCAGCCAGTGAGTAGCCTGCACTTATGGACTCTGCTGACAGGGTCTCAGATGACCAGTTTTGACCTCTTTCTCCCAGGAGGAAGATGATCAGAATGCACCCTAATCCATCCACTGGTGCCATTTCACTGCCACAAGTATCCCACTGGGCAGAGAGGGACAACCAGGGCTGGAGGACAGTTGTGGGCAAAGTGAATCAACAGAGGCTTAGAGCGGAATCCAGGTGTCTGTTATTAAATGAAGGGGACTGTACTAGGGACACCTGAAGCCTAGATTGGCCTGTTGGGAGGGCAAGTTGTTAGGCTCTGTTCCCACAGATATAGGTATAAAAGAATGACGTATCAGACAAACAGCTTGCTTTATGGATGCCATGATCTCATCATTCACTCCACACCACCTCAACCCCCCTTAACTGATAAGAATCTGGCGCTGTTTCCTGTAGTCCAAGGGTCCCAGACAATGGTGTGAACGGTTGGTCCTACTGGAAAGGACATTGTTCAAGGAAGAAAAAACAACACCCTAGCACAAAGCCAGGGCAGGATCTGTCTAAATGTAAGCGCCTGTTTACAAATCCATGATTTCCAAGGGATAGAACACAATGGGGGATTGTTTTAGTGAGGCTGGTGTCCCCTTCAGTATGCTCCTGGGGACTGGAGATGGCTTTGATGGCTCAGATGGGTCTCAGATGCTCTGAGAGGAATGGACACGGATGGCGGGATGCCTTCCTGTTTATCAGGGAATGCATGCAGGTCAGGGTCAAGAAGCCAATTATACTGAAAACAGGGGGAGGGGCTCCTGGACTTCACCACTTCCATCCAGGCCTCATGCTGTCTCAGTGCTCAGAGACCCCAGAGAGGGTTTGCTAGTAAAGGCAAAGAGCAAGGGT